GTGGGGACTTTGGAGTGAAAAGGGCATGTGTGTGCCATTATGTAGTCGTTTGGAATGCACTTGGCAAAGGGAGCGACGTAATTTCCTCATTATTTTCAGCTGGCATGTTCCCGTGACAACGCAGCACGGTGTCCGTCAGATTGTCGCTGATGGACACCGGCATAAAAAAATATATACATTTTATATTTTAAAAAGTTTTTATATATTATATAGCATATTTTTAAAACTTTTATGTTTATTTGCAACAGTTATGCTAACAACAATAAAGAATGAGAATGTGACGTAACGGCGCTTTGAGTTCTGGGAAACGGCTTTGTTTATCTGCCATAGGACTGCATTTCTAGGACCCTAGTTTTTTTGTAACAGCGCCACCTACCGAATTGGATCACTAAAGATAGACGACATGGGCAGCAATCAGAGTGAGTAACTTTACCGATTTTCAATTAAGTTTTATTTTATAACGTTAAAACGATGCAAAGTTTAAGTAGCCAAAGTGAGAACTGCTAAGAAATAAGAATGAATTCCTGATTGCTAGTTTTATTGATTATTACGACGTTCTTAATTCATGGCCATGATTTAATTAGGCTAAACCTTGTTGACATAATGACTATAATAAGTAAATCTAGCCAGCACAATTAATAATTAAACTTAAAAAGATGATAAAAGCATGTTGATGTGAGATGTGTCAGATTTACCTGTAGCTTACTGTATTAGTGTGAAAACTTGTTTGTTACTCATTGTTTTACCATAGTTAAGTATAAATCATCTTTGGTTAAGTGTATGATGATTTATAACACACAATGAACACGTTGCATCCACTTAAGTTACAATGGATTATATTTCTCATAGTTATAATGTATTATAGGTCTCATATCTTGCCATTGTTTAAGATCTGCACAATAACTTAGTACATCTTATTAGTGTTTTTACTGTAAAATAACAAATACAAAGTCTTCATGAAAACATTCCAAAATGCTTTAATGTGGTCTTATTATTTATAAGTGGTATTTATAAGTAACTTCACTGTACTAAAAGCAGACAAAGACCACTTATAAATAATAATAATAAATAATAATATTTTTCTCAAACAGCCATAAGATCAGATATCAGATCAGATGAATGTGTACACGTTTACTTTGAACTATTTTTATTGTAATATCAGTTTGATTATTTTGATGGTACCCTTTAGACAACTGTTGATAAGTAACTCTGCGACTACATGTCAACTAGCAGTCATTAGAGTATTAGTAGTATGTCTGCTAAATATATGCTAACACTATTTTGATGGTTCCCCAACAGACATTCTACTCACTATAAGCAAATTTGCAAGTACATAAACTTATTCTACCAACCATAACCTTAATTAAGCCTACTAAAACTCTATTGAGAGTTAGTTGGCATGTAGTTGCAAAGTTGCTTATAGTCATGTTTTTCGAACAACCTAGTATGAGAGCCTGTTCTAGTACACCCCCAAAACTAAATCAAGACTTTGTAAAAGAGCATAATAGAGCTTTTTAAACCTTTTTGTCACACTAATAATTACACACCAGTAGAGGTCAGCATTGCGATGGAAATACATCAGCGGATATCCGAGGATGCAAAGCAGATCTGTGCATAAGAAACTAAGACTTAAGGTACTCCACTTTTTCAGTTGTTTAAAGACTGAAATACATTTTTCATTTATATTTTAATTGTAAATTCAGTTAACTTTAAAATTGTTAACTCAAATCAGGTATTACACACTTTGTAATTAACATCTGATGCATTTATAAATCAAAAATCACAATTGAAATAAATTTTAAAAAGGTTCCTGAGATTCAATATCTTTAACAACATGCAAAAACATTACTACAAACTAAACCACCAGGGTCCTAGAAACGTGGTCATGAAACTGCAGCCTCCGCTATATCATCCAATTCGGTAGGTGGCGCTGTTACAAAAGAATAGGGTCCTAGAACTGCGGTCTGCAGCCTCCGGTTGTGCAGGAACACCCTTCTCAAGAGCAGAGCTAAACTGTCCAAATCGAAAATAATATTGATTTATTTTCTGCTCGATTCATGAATCGATACATTAAGATTACCAGGATATCAAAACATTCAGTAAAAACACGTTGTTCATTTAAAAATCGATTACACATATTAAGTTAAACATATTAATCACTTACATTGAGAATTTCTAGTGGCGTCTCGAGGAAATATCTGTGTTAACTGTCAACACTGCCCCCTAGTGGTCGGGAGCATTTCCGTTGTGTTGTGAACTTATGTTTGCTTTTTTAATTGTGTTGTGTTTTGCAATACTGGTTCACCGTAAAAAACACGTTGTTCATTTAAAAATCGATTACACATATTAAGTTAAACATATTAATCACTTACATTGAGAATTTCTAGTGGCGTCTCGAGGAAATATCTGTGTTAACTGTCAACACTGCCCCCTAGTGGTCGGGAGCATTTCCGTTGTGTTGTGAACTTATGTTTGCTTTTTAATTGTGTTGTGTTTTGCAATACTGGTCCACCGTAGATTATAGCACTTAAAACCCGGAAAAGTCTGATTTTCATGATATGTCCCCTTTAAAAAATCTAACCAAAATTTATCTTTGTGGGTACATTGCCACTATCCAACAACTACTAAAGCAGTGTTCATTTTGATTTTATGCGGCATTTAAATGTGTTTGTCACTCCTGAAACTTTACACGAGTGGTGTCTATGAAATATAATAACTGTCTTCCAGTCTTAATAATCAGCAGTATTGTCCAGGGCCTGGTTGCAACAATCCACTTAAGTTAAGAAACCCCTGTAAAGTCTTCAGGCGTTTGCTGCAGCTGGCTGAAGACCCTGATGTCATTTAGCAAGAGTGTAGCATGACGTCTAGGTTACACCACATGCTTTCCGAAATCCTGCTCTTTGATATTTTTATGAGAACTGTGGGTGTGTTTATGTGCATTACTGCAGCCCATAGCCTACTCCGATCTTAAAAATCCTCCTTTGTAAGTTTGGATAAAAGCATCTGCTGAATGAATAAATGTAAAAGTAAAGCAAATGTTTACCAAGTGGAAGTATTTTATTTGTTTGAGTAAGAATCAATATTCATTTTTAAATGCATTTTTAGTAGTTCATCTATCCATATTGAATTTAAAAACAAAATCTAGCAGATCTTAATAAAGACTCACAGATCTGTTATAATTCATCTTTGATCTTTTTTGGAGGCAGACACTTTGCGTCGATGGGAGTGTTTCCTTCCCCTTTACAAGCATAACACTCACTCTCACTCTGATTCTCACTCACACAGCGGTAGAGAGGAACATGAGCCACAATCTGCTTATATTTGGTTTGAGGATCTTTTTCAGTGTCAAACTTCCAGAAACTCTTGAAGACAAAAGCTTTAATTCCACTGTGTTCTTTCCAGTTCTCCAGGGCCTTTAAAATGCTGTGTTTGCCTGTCTCATCCAGACACGTATTGACGCAGGGAGATTCAAATGTGAAGAAAACAGAGCAGCCGTCTTTTCTTTTATTCAAAAGTTTGGTCATGGGTGAGTTGGCAGCTGGATTCAGCAGCAGAGACTCTGAATGCATATAGTATCCCTTCTTTTTTCTAGTTCCTGCAGCGATGAGTTCTGCACCTTGGTAAAGTGCGATTGTTTCATCAGTAATAGCATTTTTCACATTCATGGCATTCTCTTGAGTCAGAAAGTTGTTCTGTGCAAGATTGAAGTTCTGTTGACACTGATGCTTTGGCACGTTGATGGCTACAGCGTACTGACGGGGATGTCCATCTTTATCAACTCTTTTAAAGCTGGAAAACAGTAAACAGGATCAAGTATTGTTTTAGGTGACTAATGACACACTCCCATGTTTTTAATTTATGACCATTTGACAGACAGCTTCCTGTTGTGACTTCCTTGTTGCTAACTTTTAACTTTCTTGTTAAATTTTAATGTAAGCATTAACTTTGGGCTTTTAATATTTTATAGAAACTGGAGACAGACTTACTTTTGCTCGAAGAAATCAATAATACGCGCGAGAGTATTGATGTCCACAGTGTCACCTTCAATGCCTTCTGTCCAATCAGGAAGCAGAAAGAGCAGCAGGAGTCCGCTTAGAAACATGGTGGACTTCTAAAATCCCAAAACACACACAGAGAACAAATACAATTGTAAATACAATGTGCATAGTTAGTCAGAAACACTCCTACAAGCCCATTCAAAGTGAAACAAACCTACTCCCAAAATTACTTGTATGATATGAGTCTTGATTGTGACTGACTATGCTGTTTTTTGTTCCATGTGATGAATGATGAAAGTGAAAGAGAAAGTATATTTATTTTAGTCTGCACCAGCCCTCTTCTTTAAAAAGACTATAGAATCCCTGAATTATCCAATAATAAAACAACTGACATTTTATGTTTGTACCACTGATCTATAATAGAGAACATTATATATAGATCAGTGGTTTGTTCAGTTCTTAGAAAGAACCAGTTACTACATTATAGCATTCAATGACGCGCTTCACTCGGCAGCCCTAAAACTATAATCACATATTATAAAAATTTAAAAAAAAACAAATAAAAAAATCACATATTATACTTACTTGCCGGCAACCCGCCAAAATAAGATGAAAGTGAAAGAGAAAGTATATTTATTTTAGTCTGCACCAGCCCTCTTCTTTAAAAAGACTATAGAATCCCTGAATTATCCAATAATAAAACAACTGACATTTTATGTTTGTACCACTGATCTATAATAGAGAACATTATATATAGATCAGTGGTTTGTTCAGTTCTTAGAAAGAACCAGTTACTACATTATAGCATTCAATGACGCGCTTCACTCGGCAGCCCTAAAACTATAATCACATATTATAAAAATTTTTTAAAAAACAAATAAAAAATCACATATTATACTTACTTGCCGGCAACCCGCCAAAATAAAAGTTTGCAGATTTTAGGTTTGAAATAGTTGAAAATTCCAAAAAAAACAAAAAAAAACATAAATATTAGCATTGTATTTTTTTTAAGTGTACTATAAAACAACTGTATTTTTATTTAATACTCTTTTTTAATTTTAAAATATAACACTTTATTTTGTTAATATTTTGAAGTGCAATAAAGCTATTATTACTACTATTAATTATTTTATTTTTTTATAGTTATATTTATAGTTATATTTAATGGCTCACACTATGTGCACGCACACACATAAAATTTCAAAATGGACTTTATATATGTTTTATATGATGTTTTGGTGGTAGAGTTGCAGGGGTAATTACACACCAGTAGAGGGCAGCATTGCGAAGGAAATACATCAGCGGATATCCGAGGATGCACAGCAGTTCTAAGCATGAATATAAAATAGATTATAATACATTTAGATCGGTGTATATGTATATATCTACTTTAAAGTAGTCTTAAGCTGTACTAAATGTTGCAGAGCCAATGGAGATTTGATTTGAATCTATTTTCCGTTGGCGGAGAAGAAATGAACAACTACCTGGTCATATTTTGTTTACAACATAAGCTACACGATATCTACTGTTATATGAAAACAATATCTCACTCAAAATCACAGCTGTGACTCTTGACTGTGTGATGCTGCTTATTTGAATGAAAAAAAAACATTAATGTGTCATCATTTTGAAAATTTTACAGTAAACTGATGCACAAAAAAATTGTAAAACATATCAAATGACTTTCTTGCTCATTATTATTGAAAAAAAAGTGTTTTTTTTCTTTTTCTGTTACTTGAGTGTAATCAAGTCAAGACACATGTTTGAGGATCAGATGAAAAACAGATCAGACTGTAGTTTTATTTTCATCTGTCTCTCTGTGTGATGAACATGTGCCAGACCTGTGAACTTTGAACTTTGACCCCTCAGATGAGGAGCAGGGTGAAGGAGAGGATGCTGTTTGAAGGTTGGCATTTACAAGGGAAGACAGAGGGTCAAAAGAAGCTTCTGAGAGAGAAAGAAAGAAAGGGTTTGACATAAAATAGCATCTGTCTCCCTGTCCATTATTCTCGAGGTGTTCAAGGAGGTTTTCTGTGTTTTCTAGGCCACAGGTGAAGCGTTTGATCAGCTGTGGAAGAACAGAGACGTGAATCATCCTGGAAAGTGTGAAGAGTAAGCTATGACTGCAGACAGATGTGTGAGAGATCACACACTTATGCTAACTTCTGTTGTTTTTATTTAGAATGAATTATAATGACTGCAGACCAGTGATATTTTAGTATCGAGATGCTATTATAGATTTGATTAATATTTTGTATTTGTTTTAATTTTAAGTGAAGTGTTGCGTGTTTGTTTCATCATCATCATCATCATTATTTTTAAAGTCTATATAGTTTTAATGAATTTTTATTTCAGCTTTTTTTTTAGTTATGTTAAACTAAATTAATATGAAAAAGGCTGCCTTGGCAACCAGCTGAAATGAAATATGTTAAATAATATTATTAATAATTAATAAAAATATTTTTTTATTTCCATTTTATTTATTTTTTAATCTAAAATTAACTTTTGTTTATTTTTATTGTGTATTATTATAACTTTATTTATTTTTAGTTTTAATTAACTATAATAACCCTGCTGCAGACTAATTCAATTCCTAAACTTTATCCTAAACCCAAATCCTGAAAACATTTAGGATTAACATTTTAAAATTTCTTTAAAAACCCATATTGGCTTTATGAATAAATGTTGCAATTGCCAACATCTGCAAAAGCTTCCAAATGAAGGTTTTGTTTCCAAATGTATATAGTAAAGTACATACACACACAAACAGGGTTTAGTATAATACAATGAATGATTTAATTATGCAAAATATCTGGAGGATTCAGATAAACACTCACACACATACAAAATAAATTAATAAAAAAACATTCAGTTGTTGTGGCTGTATTATCAGTATTTTTGAGAGCTTTTTAGTATTTTACCATCACTTGGCAAGAAGATAAACAACATTAGAAAGGTTGTAAGTATTATTGGGGACGACCAAATGTATATTGCAGTTTTAAGCATATCAGATCATATCAAATCAGTAAAATATAGTTGCTAAAAATAAAAAGTCGTTTTCACAGTGCACCTTTTAACACTACAGCACCGCTATAGGAATTATTGCAAACAAGTATGATTTTGAACTCCCAAGTTCCAGAATACTGTATAATTTTACAGTCGTCCCTCATGTAAAAAAACAAAAACATCATTCAAATGTCAAGGAATGCATGAGAAGAAGTTCACTGTCTGCTATAAAACATTTGTCTTTTATTTCCAACACGTATCCAGCCCAGCGCTTTCGTCTGGCCTCATAAGAGCGGCGCTGAGTGGCTGCGAATGTCTTGTATGAATATGGCCATTTCTCATATTGCACTTCAACATGTTTCTCAGTGAAAAAACGTCTCCTTTTTGTTTTGATTCAGCTTGTCTTGTTGTGTTTTCTGGGATTGTGGATAATTTTGCTGGAAGGGCTTTTGAAGAAGAGTTCAAGGGAATGTTTGAGATCTTTTGATCTGCCGGCTGTGCCATCCAGTGGTGAAGAAGTTGTATTTTTATTGCCAAGAGTTTTGTATCTCCGTCTGCAGAAAACCTTCATTCCAGGACTTTGGGACTTTATGCCGTCCCCCCTTCGGGACAGCTGAGCCACACAACCCTCTCAGGCGATTTCAGGCCTCAGATAATGAAAGGAATCTGGAAGACATGAAAATGTAAAGAGCATAATTTATTAATAATGTTAAATGATTTTCACATTTAATATGCATCTTAATAGTAATATTTGTTCTGCTTATGTTTGCATGACTTGAAAGCGTGTGCCGTCCATAGCAATCAGGCTGGCAAACGCTGAGCCTCCTCTTTAAGAAGGACTCATTAAAGAGCTGCCTTATTTGTGCGGAGTCCATTTCATCCGAGCATAACTGTACGAGCGTGGATAGTGAGTTAGACAAGCGCAGCTGCTTCTCATCATGATCCTGCCACAGGAGATTAGCATCCAACCATGACCTTCACACACACACACACACACACACTCCAGATTACAGGATCAGACCTCTGCAAATAACATACAACTATATACCAGCCTCTGATGTGTGTGTGAAGCCTTTTACCCTTTTATTATTTGTTTAGGTCACCAACAAATGAATGACAATCACCTAAATTGACATTTTGTTGGTGTATAGATGCCAGAAGTCACTATCAGAATTGTTATGATTGACATAACAGCAATAAATGTAGCAACATTTTTGTTTGTGTCTTACAGATGTAAATAGCAAATACAGATACAAAATATATAACCTGCTTGCTTTTTTTGACTAATGAAATATTAGCGATCAGAGAGTAAACCGTTGTTGTTGCATTTCCTGACAGACATTTTTTTTATTATAAATGCTATTTAATTTAATGCTATATTTAAAGACTTATTTTGAGGTTGTTAATGTATGATTATTATTATTATAAATATATAAATATATATACAGTATATATATATATATACAGTGGGTACGGAAAGTATTCAGACCCCCTTAAATTTTTCACTCTTTGTTATATTGCAGCCATTTGCTAAAATCATTTAAGTTAATTTTTTTTTCCTCATTAATGTACACAGCACCCCATATTGACAGAAAAACACAGAATTGTTGACATTTTTGCAGATTTATTAAAAAAGAAAAACAGAAATATCACATGGTCCTAAGTATTCAGACCCTTTCCTCAGTATTTAGTAGAAGCACCCTTTTGATCTAATACAGCCATGAGTCTTTTTGGGAAAGATGCAACAAGTTTTTCACACCTGGAATTGGGGATCCTCTGCCATTCCTCCTTGCACATCCTCTCCAGTTCTGTCAGGTTGGAGGGTAAACGTTGGTGGACAGCCATTTTCAGGTCTCTCCAGAGATGCTCAATTGGGTTTAAGTCAGGGCTCTGGCTGGGCCATTCAAGAACAGTCACAGAGTTGTTGTGAAGCCACTCCTTCGTTATTTTAGCTGTGTGCTTAGGGTCATTGTCTTGTTGGAAGGTAAACCTTCGGCCCAGTCTGAGGTCCTGAGCACTCTGGAGAAGGTTTTCATCCAGGATATCCCTGTACTTGGCCGCATTCAACTTTCCCTCGATTGCAACCAGTCGTCCTGTCCCTGCAGCTGAAAAACACCCCCACAGCATGATGCTGCCACAACCATGCTTCACTGTTGGGACTGTATTGGACAGGTGCCTGGTTTTCTCCACACATACCGCTTAGAATTAAGGCCAAAAAGTTCTATCTTGGTCTCATCAGACCAGAGAATCTTATTTCTCACCATCTTGGAGTCCTTCAGATGTTTTTTAGCAAACTCCATGCGGGCTTTCATGTGTCTTGCACTGAGGAGAGGCTTCCGTCGGGCCACTCTGCCATAAAGCCCCGACTGGTGGAGGGCTGCAGTGATGGTTGACTTTCTACAACTTTCTCCCATCCCCCGACTGCATCTCTGGAGCTCAGCCACAGTGATCTTTGGGTTCTTCTTTACCTCTCTCACCAAGGCTCTTCTCCCCCGATAGCTCAGTTTGGCCGGACGGCCAGCTCTAGGAAGGGTTCTGGTCGTCCCAAACGTCTTCCATTTAAGGATTATGGAGGCCACTGTGCTCTTAGGAACCTTAAGTGCAACAGAAATTTTTTTGTAACCTTGGCCAGATCTGTGCCTTGCCACAATTCTGTCTCTGAGCTCTTCAGGCAATTCCTTTGACCTCATGATTCTCATTTGCTCTGACATGCACTGTGAGCTGTAAGGTCTTATATAGACAGGTGTGTGGCTTTCCTAATCAAGTCCAATCAGTATAATCAAACACAGCTGGACTCAAATGAAGGTGTAGAACCATCTCAAGGATGATCAGAAGAAATGGACAGCACCTGAGTTAAATATATGAGTGTCACAGCAAAGGGTCTGAATACTTAAGACCATGTGATATTTCAGTTTTTCTTTTTTAATAAATCTGCAAAAATGTCAACAAATCTGTGTTTTTCTGTCAATATGGGGTGCTATGTGTACATTAATGAGGAAAAAAAATTAACAAATGATTTTAGCAAATGGCTGCAATATAACAAAAAGTGAAAAATTTAAGGGGGTCTGAATACTTTCCGTACCCACTGTATACAGTATATATACATATATGTAGCTGTGTTATTGTTAATTTCATAATCTTTCTGTCTTTTTTCTTGCCATTTTATCTAATTGGTAACTTATCTACAGCAGATAATTGATTATTG